CCTACAATTCACTGCCCTACAGCCCCTACAGTGATTAGGAAGCTTCCGCGCTTCAGCAGTTGAGATTCAGAGTCACAAAGGCAGCAGCTGAAACTCAAGCACGTCAAGCCGAAGCTCGTAAAACCCCAAATCCTGTTGGCTGTGCTCTTGCTCTACCAACACCCCAAATCTTAGATGCCGGCCTGAACCAACAATCCTCATTTTTGCAACGATAAACACAGGCCCGCACCACTCTCTCCTCTGCCAAAAGCCATTTTGGCCAGCAAAGGCCTTCGATGTCATAGCCTTGTTATCCGGCTTCACAAGGTTTCAGGTTGTAGGTTCCTCATGGGTTCAGATCGGCACATGGATCGGTAGGATATTGGGGTTAAGGTAAGCTGAGTTTGGAGCTACAGATGGCCTAGTTGTTGGTAAAAGTCCTGGAGCTTGGGGCATTATGGGTGAAAAGAAGGTTGATACATCAGCGGCTGCGCCATCCTAACGGCGCCTACTGCCATGGTCTTGAGGGCAGGTCCCGCTTCCTAGACTTACCTTGATGGGGTCCTTATGTCCTTTTCAATACGAAATCCCAGTCTGCCAGCGAATCCAGGCCTCGCTTCTGCTTTTGAACTAGGAAACATTACTGCGGAGAGTCTGGCAAAAAGATTTTAAGGATTTACCCAATCCCTCAGGTTTCTAAGTGGGAGTCTCGCGGGCTTTGAGGTTCGAGGCTTTTTTGTTGGATGTAGTTCTGGGTTTTTGAGGGCCCTTTGAAGTAGAGCAGCATGTCAGTCGGATTCCTGGCCAAAGATGTTGTCGCAATGTCGCCTTACTTCCATGGCATGGGACGCAGAGTCGCCCTTGACCACAATGGCCGCGGAGTCCGTCAAATAGCGCGTCACCTGCAACCTAAAACCGAAACCCTAAAATTCTGACCGCGCTTTTGGCTCCAATCACGTGGAGGAGACCTACCCCAAACGCTCCTACGTAGTTCCTTTTTGGGTCTGCTATGTTTTTTTGTAAGTGTTTATAATCTACTGCCCAAAGAGGAACTACATAGGAGGCTCTGGGTGCACTGCAACCACATCCAGGCCAGCAATGGCCACAACTTGCCAACAGCATGCCCGTGTTGCGTGCGGACATCTTTCGGGGCAAGCTGCGTGACAAGCTTCTGTGGGCAAACTATGCAGCGCCCTTGAGATGGCACTTGATGACTTCCACTTAAGACATCTTGAAATGGCTTATCAGGACGCTTTCAGAGTATGTCTACCTTCTCCCCTAACCAACCCCTAAGATTCCCAACCCTAAGCCTTACATTCTGTGAGCTAAATATACTCTAAATTCTTCAAAGCCCATCATAACCCAAGCCGGGAACCTGGCCAAGCTTCAGCGCATTGTGGTAGTCTGTGCCTGCCCATGCCCCATGCTGCAAAGGGGCCTACTTTGCCCAACAATCCGGGATGCTGAGCAGCATGCCCAAAGACAGAGGTTCGCCATGGGCTGTGAGGTGTATAGCCTTGTATGTTTTGGAGGGCACTAGGTCCTGTCTACAAATGCCTGTGCAAGGTCCCAACACTTTGCCCCAGGTCGAAACAAGAAACCCGCATTTCCAGAAACAAGCACATGGATAGATTACTGAACACGTTCCAAATTACTTGGGCTGAGCTTTTCGATGGATTGGACCGCAATACATACCCTATAATCTCTTTTCCCTGTCCTCAACAGAGCTTGGGCCTGAGAATTGTCAAGGGACAGGACTTGGTTGAGTATTGGTTATATAGGGATAATGGAAAAGCAAATGGAAACAACTAAGGGGTATATAGGGGTTATATAAGGGTATATAGGGGCTTTTTAGGGTTTAGGGCTTAACAGTCTTGCAGGTCCTTCTTCAGATTCTTTATGGTATGTCGCTATTCCACGCTGCAGCTTTCGCTGCAGAAGCCCTGGCCTCGCGCGGCAAGTGGGAGGTCTGAAAACCCAATTGTTAGCACCTGAAGTGCTTGCAGTCCCAGGATGACTCTAACATGTTTTCTGGGTTTTGGGGAGTTTGGTGCTATGTACAAGCTTGTTCAGGATACAACCTGAGCCGTGCCCCGTATTAGTGCAAGGACTTTGTTGGTCACCTGTTGGGTCCCCTAAAGACGATCAGAATTCAAAGCAAATGAAGGCGCAGTCGCTTTTTTTGCATGGTCGGGGCATCGCTCGCCTTCCCTTGGGGAGGTTCCAGATGCCTCTAGATGGAGCATTGCGTCAAGTCTTCCCTGGAAAAGTGTCTTGAATTGTGCCGGGCCCTCCCTTAAAAGAATGCAGACGCTAAACCTTTGGGGCGTGGGGATAAATGTAAGGAATTCGTAGCCACGAGAAGCCAAAAGCCCTTACGCCAGACATCAAGATCTGAAATACCAAAGGCATGACATGCTCACCTGAGCAGCCCTAGACAGGGGAAGAAGCAGCGCAAAGGCCCACCATCCCGCCCGGGACCACTTCCGGGACGCGGGCAGATGGTGGAGGGCTCGGCGATGCAGAGTATAATGGGGCCATGCTTGCTGGGTTCGGGGTGGCAGTACCGTCAGGACGTACTTTTGGAACTTAGAGTTGAAAGGCATAAGATCTCCCATGTTTCCCTCGGATACCCAAAAGCGCACCTTTGAAAACACGCTCCTCTACTCTTTAATGATTGTACTTTTCACGAGGATCCTGTGCACTGCAATGCCGTTGCCTTGCCTTTCGCTGCGGCTCCCTTTGCGAAAGCATGAAGCAACAACACGGCGCCAGCAGTCGAGCAATCCAAGCACTGAGGAAACACATTTTGTGATAAGCTCCTAGGCTGTTATGTTGTTAGAAAGCATGTCTGTGGAATGCTGGGGCGCTTTGCAAAAGCTGGTGGTAATTCGAAATATCATGTCTTCTGGCCTTGGATAGCCATAGCCTCCCAACTCGCTAACAAGAGTGAACTCTGTACTCGACCCGCTGAAAGCTTGGTTTTCAAGGGATAGCGGGAGCCCTACCTCCAGCTCAAACATCTTTACTTTAAGCTTTGAAACTGATTCACTGAGCTACATCCGAATCAAGCTCAGGAGGAACCATGTTCAGACCATGATGTCATGGAGCCCATCTAAACCATCTATGGCGAGTGCTCGGAAGCCCATAGAGTCCATAGTGGTTGCAGGTCTCCACATCAGAAAGAACAGTGTGTTCTAGGTCTTTGGGTCAGAGCACAGCCTGGAACAATGCTAACCAGCAGCCCAGACATGTCTTTTGTTCCTACACCTAGGAGGGTCATATACCCTTAAATAGTCACCTGAACTGAACTGGAGCAACTCCAATATTTCCCAGCATCACACTCTGACCCAAGCCGGGGCTGTGCCACAACCGAGGCCCTCTACTGGGGCCCCCATCATTTGGGAACCTACATTCCAGCTGAGACTCAACTGGAAGCGCAAGCATTTATGGCCTCACCACTGCCGCCGCTCAAACAGCGACTGAACAGCTTTTAGGGTCTCCTGTTTAGGCCAGAGGCTACACGAGCAGCAGTCGAACACGGAAGGCTATGGCAACCATAGTAGTCAGCAAGATGGAGCGTAGCCGTACACAAAATATCATGAAATTCACTCTATACAACTGCCAATAGCTTTATAATCAGACTAGCTTGGGGACTCGGATTTTAGGTCAGAAGCTTCAAAAGAACAGCAAAAGATCTCGCACTGGAGCTCCCGCAAAGAAGTCCTCTGAACATTGCGATACTGCCAGAGCCTCCTACATGCGATCTTTGATCCTACACTCAAACCACTTAACACCCTTGGCCCTGAGCTTGCTACCGTACGTAATCCCTGCGCAGTACCCTTCAATTATTAATTGTGTTACCAGGGCTTCATGTGTTGGTTGCCGCTCCCACGTCTGCTAAGCTCAGTCCAGCAGCAAGGTTTCGGTTTTGCCCCGAATCGTCGGAATGGAGAGCCTCAGCTGCCTATTTTGACGTGTTGGGCCCCTTTAATGCCAGTATGTAGTGCGAGGACCCAAAGAAACCACCTTGACCTCGTTCGGGGCTTAGTGGTTCAGAGTTGGCACCCTCATGTCATGAAGTCAAATACAAAAAGGCACGGCCAAGTACCGGAGGAGGAGGATGTCATGGGAAGAGGGAGAGGCCTGAGGGAGCAAGGTCGCACAGACCAGCATGAATTCTTCACACCGCAACGCAGTCCGTTCGTGCAAGACAACATGCTCTTCTCTGAGCACAGGGTCGTGTAAGCAGTCCAAACGGTATTCAACGTGGCAATCATAGGATTCCAGCACTCCAGCATCCAGGATCCAACGCAACTACTAGTATGAGCCACTGTTGCAGATCCCTGTGAATGGACATTATTCGCAAAATCTCAAGGTGCAAATGCCGGAAAAATCATTCCTAGGGTCCCAGCCAACATGCAATGGGCGGTTTCACCGGAGGCATGCTCACACTAAATCCCAAAATGGAAAACCCTCCGCCGTGAGATGTAGGATTTCCAACCTGGCGGCCCCAAGGAAGCGCCTCCGTGGACGTCGATCTCCCGTATCCTTGATGCGCCACATGTAACACGAAGAAGCAAGGATAGCAGGGATACCGACAGAACAGCAATACAAGCCCGTCATAGTTGCAGTAGGGGTGAGTCGGGTAGAAATGCAGAATGCCACAATTACATGTAGCAACCGTGGCCGTGGAAGGATTTGGTGGCGGCAACAGCGGCGGTTGTGAGAAGTCATGCTAGTATTCATAGTCTGGCGGCAATAGAAGCAGCAGTAACAGCAGTAGCAGCCGACAGCAGTTTGCTGCAGGTATCTGCAATAATCAAAATACCTTTTCAAATCCAAAGCAGAATCAGAAGGGAAATCATCACGTAACGACAATAAACCTGGCCATGGCTGCAAGACTAATAGTTGGATGCAATTCTGTCCATGTTTTGGTGGCTGAAGAGGGTTAAGGTTCGAGTGTTGTAGGAAGCACCCTAGTCATGAGACAGTGGCTGTCTCACTGACTTATCCGATACTCAAGTACCGCCTAACCACGTCTTCATGAAACTCTGGCCAAAGAACAGGAGCCCTATTGTCGGATCGAAGTCGTAGAGGATGCGTGCCGTGTGTGGCCAGGCTTGAAACACCTCTTTGCACGAGGTCTGCAACAGAAACCGCTTAAAAACAAAGAGCTTTGGGGTTCGCATTCCTTCAGAATACAGGCACTTTGGGCCTTCTCATTCGTTCAGAATACAGGAAAAGTGTGCCTGTCTTGCTTGTGGCTACCTGTCAAGTTGAGCAGGCACATACAAGAGCGTGAACTTGGAATCAAGCCGCATATTCTGGCTACGCAGTTACTCGAAACCCGCACAGGCAACTCTGAACTCCCCAGCCTGCATGCTTTCCAAACATGAGGCGCTCAACAAGCAGTTAACTAGCAGATGCCACTTTATGGCCATAGCAAGTTTCTGGGAGAAATCTCCCATAATGCATCCTGAAGATGACATACCCTCTGTCAGAGCAGAAGGAGGGATCAGTCAAAATGCTTGGCTATTCAGCGAGAATGGCCGCAGCTACGAAAACACCACGCAGAAGCGCGGTAACATCCCAATTTTTTCAATAGAAATCCCTCCAGTGTGCATCCAGATCCCCGTGCAGGTCCCCCCGATGCTGCCGCAAAACTTGAGGGAAAGCAACTGAGACTCAACCTACTGAGGTTCAAGTGGCCTCCATATATGGCAGCATCACGGTGCCATGTTTTGCCCTGCCCACTGAAATCCCACAAAACCCATCTACTGCTCCTGTCCGGTCTAGGTTCCTTCAGAAACTGCTGCCTCTGTGGCAACCTCCGCAGAACTGAAGGGATAGTAGAAAACCCGACCCCAGCCTTCCTGCAGGTTGCGCAGGGAATCATTTGGACGCTTTTGTGAACAACTTTACAACATGAAGTGAAACAGGGTTCCTATCGTTTTTCTGGCTCGAATAATCCAGGGCTCCCCTACAATGCCATACAAGTATCTCGGAATATCTCCAATTTTCAAGCTCTACAATGAGTGCTGGGGTCCTGGTCGTTCTCCTCCTTTCTGCTCAGTGCAGCTAAAAGTTACAAACACACCAGAGGGATGTCAGGTCTTGGTAGAGAAGCAACAGCGGAAATATGCAAGTCTCCACACATGCAATAAATTCCTGCCAACAATATCCTCACTTGACATTATATTCTCGTTTTGAACTGACAAAAAACTCAATGTACCTCCTTCAAGACAGAGACAGGCTCACTTTGTATTGCGGTTATATTAGGGTTCTATTAGGGTGGGCGGGGTTTCCTAGCTGGATGAAATTTCGGCTTCTCTGTCTAAATGTTGGTCCATGAAGAACTCGCGAGTGTTACAGTCTTCCCAACACTGAAGGTATGCAATACGTGATGGAAATAAATCTGAAAGTAGCGACTGGGCCCCAGTGTCCTCGGATACGAGCACTCCCTTGGCCTCGGCAATGCTCACTGCTCCGCAGGAATCTGCAGCACGCCCTCTCCGCAAGCCCGCGGCTGCGAAGCGGCTGGCCAAGTGCGGAGCATCCCCGGAGATCACGCTCAAAGGGCTCAGAGGGCTCACGGGGCTCACGGCGGTGACAGGCGTTCCGCGCTTCGGACTCGCATCTTCCCTGTTGCCCATCCTGCTGGTGGGCGTCTGCACGTGGAGGCTGATTTCCACATCTTGCAGCTCAGCAACAGCAGCCTGCAGGGCTCTGTGAACAGCCTTCTCGACTACCTGATCCTTCTCCACGCGTCGCGAGGCCACAGCCACAGCATGATCAGCAGCAGCGCTGAATCCACACCCCATGGCCCGAAGGAAGGTCTCAACGACAAGATGGACAGTGGCCTTTCTATGCCCAAGCATCTTGAGAATCATAGTGGCTAGCTGGAAATAGCTGGAATAAGCTATAAATGCTAGAGCAAGTGATCTTTTGTCCGGCAATGTAAGGATAAGGTAGGATAAGGATCGTGGAGCAAATGGTTGCCTTTTCTCGACAGAAACATGTGAGCGGGATGAACAACATCAAACAACAACTTATGTCTTGAGCCAGGTGCGCGTCGTTAGCTGCAATCCAAGGGCCTCGCGGGACCGGCCAGAGACGATCTCTTCTCGTCAAGAAAAAACAGGCACAAGTTCCAATGATTTCACTACTTTTACATGTAAGCAGGAACAGGAGATGGACATACGATCACACGTTTGAGCAACAGAACCTTTGCAAGTTGCGAGAAACAGAAGAGGCGGGTTGGAGTAGCAGAAATGACGATGAGCACGTAGCGCCTTTTATGACTTGCTGTACCCTTGCCTAACCCCTGAACCAACGCTGCAGCGGTATATGCATCAGCTTGGACTTCATGCCGGGAGCTGATCAGCCGATTGGTCTGGTCGCACAGGAACAATAAGAAGAGCAATACTGAACATGACGTCCCCAGCGCGAGGAATATCTCCGCATCTTCGCTAGATGACTGGCAGTTACAACGTCGACTCTGACAATGGACCCCATGTGGCCGGACTTCTCAAGCGAGGGTGCCCCCAAGACATTTTACGACCCATGGATTGCCCATCATGGCAGATGGTCACATCGAACAATTGGGTCTAGAAAGCCCGAGTCCTCAACCCGAAGCCTGGGTACGGGCTACTCTTCCCGGGTCTGAGGAACCTTCTGTGCCGGGTGTGCATGCAGGCCTCATGATGCCATCTACGAATTGGAAATGGCCTTTTAGGGGGTCCCCAATATAAGGACTCCCCAATATAAGGACTATAGTATTCTGCGGTTCATACTGGGGTCCCCCTATTTGGGGAAACTGGCCTGGGATCGGTGTGCCGCGCCCCAGCGTTAGAGAAGCCAGCCTGAGATTTGGCTCAAAATAGGCCCACCTCCTGAATTCCTTGAGGGCAACAGGAATAAGAGGAGGCAAAATCTGGGACACCCTAATGTCTCCAGCCGCAGTTTGAAGCAGTAGGGCACCTGACATTCATTTCCGGCTTCCGAAGGATCTTTTTTGAAGGACATGCAAACGTAACCTCTGGAAGGGAAAGCAAGGAATGTGGCAAGCGCGAGGTCTGGGAAAGCTGTATAGAATATGAAGTATATGGAGATCTAGGAATTATATTGGGCAACTCCATATTCTATCTACTCAGGTGGGATGATGGAGGCCCCGCATACAGGCAACAACAGTAGCTTCAAAACACTGTGTTCACGAAAACGGTGCTGATAGAAATGAGGTAGCATCAGTAGCAGTCAGTGGTTATATATTGCAACAAGAAACGTTCTGCCAGGAAAGTGTCTTCTTCTCACGGTACCAGAAAATATTCTTGTAGTATCTTCCATCTCCTCCTTGCAAGTAACAGGCCATCGTCAGGTAGATAGAAGAAATATGGCGAAACCATGAGGCCTTTGGAGCATAAGGCCTTTATTGCAGGAGCATGATCTGACAGTCATGGTGTTTGGTTGAGATACTCCAAAAGACCTAGCAGTTTTTGAATAAACTGGTATGGATACCCGCCCGATGATGTAGATCCTTCATTTACAAAGCGCTCAGCCACCCACACCTTGTGCCCCAAGCATGTAGCAATTTTCAGAAGTTGCTGGCGCCCAACATATACCAGAGTATAGTCTAGTCCTTTATCGCGAAAGGGACCCCCCAATTTTCGGAAACCCCCATGGGTCGTCCAAGAATCTATCCCCACAAACGTCCTGCCTGCACGGTCTCATGCCTAGACTTGGTAGCATATTGCGCAACACGAGCTGCAACATTGTGATTCCCCAGAAATACTAATACACATATATGGTACCCCCCCAGGAGACCCGCGCTTTACCCAAATTCAAGACTCCCATGAAGATCTTTAACGTTGCCTATAGATTGTTTCCTGTAGCTTCCTCATACCCCCATACTTCAACGTACTCCTGAGAAGGACTCCCATGAGCACCCATAACATTTCCTTAAACTATTTCCTAGGGCTTCCTCTGGAACCCTCACCAAAACTTCGGATGGGATCCTCATCCGAAGTTTTTGTGGGTATCTGTACTGGGCGTCCGTTGATTTAAGAGCTCCAGAGGAAGCCCTAGGAAATAGTTTGAAGGAAATAGGATCCGCATCAGGAGTATATTGAATTAGAAGGACTCAATAGGAGGGGTATTCAATTTAGAGGCAGAGATCTCCTAGGCGTTAATCCAAACCATTTTTTCCAATATGCTTTCAACACGGACTTTAGATAAAGGAGTCTAAAGGGAATCTTATTTGAATTATCCGAAAAGCTTATCTTAGGAGACTGTTGCATGATGGACTACACATATGTTCTTGTCCTGCCATGGCCAGGCATCTTGGCTGTGAACCGGAGCATGTGGCAGGTGACAGTGATGGTAACTTCCTCTACACCCCGAGAAATACCATAAGAATATAATGAAAACCACGAACAAGGCAGTGCCTTTTCTAAAAATGTGTGTCTTGTGGGGTGGGCGGGGGTAGCACACACATACATATATATGCAAATGTATGGATAATCTCTCTCTCTCTCCCTAGTCGAATTTTGCCCTAAAACTCTCTTTCAGTACCTAATTCGTGCCCAAAAGTTCTCCCTGCTGCAACCGGAAGTTTTTGTTTTGCAGTGATTTTTTGTGTTGGTTATGAGGTGGGGAATGTTCAGGATCTATTCTTGCGAAATCTCTGCTAATCTACCTGCTCCAAACCCTTTATTCCTAGAAGCTCTCCCTACTACATACTCTCAGTTTCGCGTTCACTCTTCAAGCATTCCCCGCAATAAACAATGTGACAAAAATCAAAGATAATTATTGTTAGGGGATGGATGGGACGGATGGGATGGATGGGATGGCTGGGATGGCTGGGATGGCTGGGCTACTACTAATTTTTGCCAGACCCTGAGTACATGATGTTCTAGGAATGCTGGCATCATAAAATAGTAAGGTCATGCAGGATTCTAACATCAACCCGAATCCCAGTTTCGGCTTCATTTCCTTTACCATTCTATTCTCCAGCTTTGGGTTGACACCCTATAAATGTTAAGCCCTGCAACATCAAAATAGATATGCCACATGCAGCTGCGTTGCCAGTCCGCCTGGTGCACCAGCCTGGACGATGTGGTGGAGAGGCACATGAAGACACATGCGGTTAGGATTTACGGGAGTTGTAGTGCTGAGGGATTTGGGGTCTAAGGCCCATAGAGTCTAGTAGAATTTCCCTGTACTAGAGAAATCATGAAATCCGATGTATGGGTTTCAGGGTCAATGCAAAAGGTGAGGAAAAACAAGTGCAAGCGCGCCCGCCAGAAACATGAGAACAAAGCAAGCGAATGTGAAGCATTACGCTGTGGGGCAAGCATCACGCAGTTTCAGAATCCTGCATTTATGAGCATACACGTGATAGAGTTTATCGTGCCTGGCTTTAACTCGAGAAAACGGAGGCCGCTCGAGCGCTACGTGTCAAAACTAGTCTCCGGGATGTCAGGACTGGTAAGTCAGGTCGAAACTAAACCCTAACCATCCTAAACCCTTAACCTATAGCAGCCCTTCAAGGCAATCAATCTGAATTTTACATTCTACGCTCAGGGATACATGATACATTCTCATGGCAACATGCAAGCATGCCGCGCGGAACGGAAGCCTTCCCAACCCGGTTTAAGGCTTTTGGTTTAGTATCTCTAGGATCGCCTGAGCAAAGCTTCATCCAAACATCGAGAGGCAAAACCCTACATTTCCTATATACTTGCTGCGGGTTAGTGTGGAAGAAGGGATTATCATATGGGGATTATTTAGAGACTATATTCCCTTATTCCCTACTTACCACCACTACGTATATGACCCTACATCTTTCCAAAAAGCCCTTCCACAGCCCGACGATGTGCGCATCCAAGCCTGTATCGCCCAAGCTAGCATGTCCGGGCCTCGACTCTACATTATTATCATATATTATTGTACCTTATATCATACTACAGTATATAATATAGCAGATTATAGCACATGATAGTAGATTACAGTATATCATAATGTAAACCCCTGATTAATAAACACCCCTCCCTAATAATAGGGATTATAATAGGGATCCTGGTATTAAGGCCCTTCAAAGGAGGGGGTTTATTAATCACGGGTCTACATTGAGTCAAACCGTCTAGATTCAGATCTGCTGTTTGTTAGTAGGGAATCTGCAAGAAAACAGCGCCACTATTTGGGGCTTCGGGTAGGGAATGGAGGAATGGATCCCAAGACTAGCCCCTACAAAACCCCGAATACAGATCTCAATCGTCGTTTACCTTCCTTCATTCCCTGCACATCTCTAGACACTAACCCTACATGGCTATAAAATTCTTGTATAATTTTGTTATGCGCATGTATAGAGATATGAGTCATTTCCGGTTTCCATTTTATTTCAATTAGAGCCAGGAGCCCTTCTCAGCCTTGATCCGGGACCTGCTTGTCCTGCGAGGATGAATTCCCAGACCTGCACGGCTCTGATGTCGCACAGCCCCCAGAAATACCTATAGGCCCTTCCAACTTTTTCGTTTTTGTTTGGCATCCTACTCAAGAAAGCCCGGCCCAACAAGAGAATGAGAAAACCCGCTAGGGAGCCAACCACCCCAAAATACCATGTGTTCTAGTGAGCCACAGCTTAGTGAAGGATGAGTAGCAGCAGTGGAGGAGGCTTGCGCAAAGCAAAAGCTTGCAAGGCCCATGTGGCAGGCTCCTCGAATCGCACCCTTATGCTGCGCACCCAGCGCCGTATACGGCTGCACAATCCCGACTGAACTCGCAATCTTTAAGCAGACAAAAGTCTTCCGCAGGATGCTTCAGGAGC